TGTTTCCCTCTGGAGTGTTCCTTTCTTTTCGTTTAACGAGAAATCGGTTACGACTTCTCTATTCCATTCTTTTCTCACTCCTGGTCGAGTCTTGTTATTCATATTCTTGTTTCATTGTTTCTCTTCCTCCTCTACAGTCCAGGCGACCCTATTACGAATTTTGAGTTTGTCACGAGTATCTCTTATTATTACTTTCTTTTCTTAGCTGGGTCCAACGGTCCATTCGATATAGTCGCCTCGGGAGGAAGACGTCGATGAACAAGTACACTTAGGATTACCAAAGGAACCAGGAACGACGACGATACTCACGACGGAGCCTTTGACGAGTCTGTTTCCTCTGGTCGCCGACCCCGACCTTCAACTCGGTCGTCACATACACCAAATCACATCCAACCATGAGGGGGCTTCTTAAGTTCGCTAGTGCGGCATGCGTGCTGGGCCAGCTGGCAGACGCTGCTGTTCAGGTCAATTTCAACAGTGATCAGTCGATCAAGGATGGAGCGAGCACAATTGCTTTTGGTCTGTTGAAGTTCTACACAGGAAACAACACTGGTGACGTACCAGGAAACCTGCCAGACCCTTATTTCTGTATGAGCACACTCAACCATCGGCTAGGATCCTCACTAATAACTCGCAGGGTGGGAGGCAGGAGCGATGTTTGGAACGATGATCGACTACTGGCTATTGACCGGAGACTCAACCTACAACGACGTGACAACGCAGGCCATGCTTCACCAGGCTGGGGAGGACGCCGACTTCATGCCACGAAACCAGACTAAGAGCGAAGGAAACGACGACCAGGGATTTTGGGCGATGGCGGCGATGAGTGCAGCAGAGAACAAATTCCCGGATCCGCCGAAAGACCAGCCCCAGTGGCTAGCACTCACCCAGGCCGTTTTCAATCAATATGTCACCCGCTGGGATACCGAGACATGCGGCGGCGGATTGCGGTGGCAGATCTTCACTTTCAACAACGGCTTTAACTACAAGAACTCCATCTCCAACGGCTGTTTCTTTAACATTGCTGCTCGACTGGCAAGGTTTACGGGTAACCAGACATATGCCGACTGGGCGGAAAAGATTTGGGATTGGGAAACGAGCGTTGGATTGATCACGCCGGACTTCAAGATCTACGACGGAGCAGGAGTCGACAACGGCAAGAACTGCCAGGACAAGGATACGATTCAATGGTCTTACAACGCGGGTATTTTCATGCACGGTGCTGCCGTCATGTACAACCACACCCAAGACAAGAAGTGGTTTACCCGTACCGAGGGCGTCCTCACCGAAGCGACCACGCTCTTTTTCAACCAGAGCGCCATCAGCGAGCAGGCTTGCGAGCCTTTCACCCTATGCGACATTGACCAGCAGACTTTCAAGGGCTATTTGGTTCGTTGGATGGCTGGGACAGCGCAGGTCGTACCTGACTTATTCGACAAGATCATGGGTCTCTTGAGACCCAACGCCGAGCTAGCCATGTCGGTATGCAACGGATCGCCGGCTACTGGATTCAAAGGCAAGCCCGGAACGGCCTGTGGCTTCAAGTGGAACCCCAAAGGCCAATTCGACGGTCTAGTCGGCGTGGGTCCTCAGATGAGCGCTCTCGATGCGGCCATGTATATGCTGGTGAAGAAGTCCGATGTCAAGACCGCACCGGTGACGGCCGATACTGGCGGAACTTCAGTCGGCAATCCCAATGCCGGCATGAGCTTGCAGCCCAAGATTCCCACATTACCGCCAATTGAGACCAAGGACAGGGTAGCCGCCGGCTTCGCCACGACAGCCATGGTTCTCAGCGTCGTTGGCGGATGCTTCTTCATCATGAAATGATGAGTGTGCATCATCAGTAACTGTCTTTGGGTTTCGCTGGTATCTAATTCGGACTTGGCATTGGACACGGCGTTGAGGAACAAACCAGCTTTGAGAGCGGTTTCGCATGGTACGGCCGGGTCGGCAGCAATTGATGAAAATATCCCTTCAGTGAGGGTTTGGGTTGATGATATACCCTACATACATATATATACATACATATTTTATTCTTATTCTGACATCTGTCCGCCAGCCACATCTTCGCCTAGACCTCCCTATCAGCTTCGAGTCTTCGGACCTCGTGCGAAATTGTCGAGTGAATGGTTGCGTGACTGTATGTCTGAAGGGTCTTTGCAAGCGACATGCGCTTAGCATACCTCAATTTTTGATCCATGGCTAGCTCCAACACGGCAACAGTTGCTGTCGTGAAGGTTGGGAAATGTCTCTTCATTTCTCTAGCGCGGAGAGCTTAAAATCTCCCAATTTTGACCATCGGCGTAAACCCGAGCGCTTACACTTTCCCGAAGTGGGTGCAACCTCCCCCGCGGCCCCGCTTCACCCCGCGGCACCTGTACAGGAGGATGGGCGCGGGTGGGACGTCATGGTCATCCAGTTCCCTCGGGGGCCAACACCCGACTTACATAGAGTCGGGTTCTTCCCGGTGCCGTCCAGAATCCTTTTCTTGGGGTTCTGTTCTCACCTCCCCTCAATCGTTTCGGTAGCCCTCGTGTATCGAGGTCATCTATCTCGTCGTCCGTTCTTCTGTTGCGTGAACTTTCCTCCTTAGAGCTTTAGACTCGTCTAGTCTCACCCACTCATCTCAACTCGACGGACCGATTCTGAAAGGACCAAGATCGAAACCTCCGTCAAGATGTCAGCCAAGCATTTCATCAATGATCCCACCAAGCTGGTGAACACGGCCCTTCACAGCCTCACGCTGACGAACCCGAGCCTCGCCCTCGACAAGACGAACAAGATCATCTACCTCAGACCGACCGCCAATGCCGCGCCCCAGACCTCCGTGATCAGCGGCGGCGGCTCCGGCCACGAGCCCTCGTTCTCCGCCATGGTCGGAAAGGGACTCCTCTCCGCCGCTGTTGCGGGAACCATCTTCGCCAGCCCCAGCGCCGAGCAGGTCCGCACCGCCATCGCCTCGCGCGTCGACACGTCAAAGGGAGTCCTGGTCACCGTCATGAACTACACCGGCGACGTCCTGAACTTTGGCATGGCCGTCGAGAAGGCCCGCGCCCAGGGGCTCGAGGTTGAGATGGTGGTCGTCGGCGACGACGTCGGCGTCGGGCGCGCAAAAGCCGGCAAGGTCGGCCGCAGAGGTATCGCCGGCACCGTGCTCGTGCACAAGATCGCCGGCGCGCTGGCGGCCCAGGGACGGCCCCTCAGCGAGGTCGCAAAGGTCGCGCGCCTCACCGCGGACAACCTCGTCAGTGTCGGAGCCAGTCTGGAGCACGTCCACGTCCCGGGCCGCGCGATTCCCAGCGAGAAGGACGAGGGCGCGCTGCAGCTCGGCGAGGCGGAGCTGGGCATGGGCATTCACAACGAGCCCGGCTCCGGCAGGGTGAAGGCGGATCTGCCGGAGCTGGTGGCCAAGATGCTCACGCAGCTGCTGGACCAGAACGACAAGGACCGGGCGTTCCTCAACGTCAACTCGAACGAGGTCGTTCTGCTGATCAACAACCTCGGTGGCGTGAGCGCCCTGGAGCTGGGCGGCATCACGGCCGAGGTCGCTTCGCAGCTTGAAGGCAGCTACGGCATCCGCCCCGTCCGCATCCTGAGCGGCACTTACATGACCTCTCTGAACGGTTTGGGCTTCAGCATCACGCTGCTCAACGTTGTCAACACGGACATCGGTGGACCCAGCATGATTCAGCTTCTGGATGCCCCTTGCGAGGCTACCGGCTGGTCGTCTCCCATCCTCAAGGAGACCTGGGAAGCTAAGAACACTGCCACGAGGGAGGATGGAAGCGGCGCTGAGCAGGCCACTAAGCCCAGCGATCTCAAGTACGACGCTGCGTCCGCTACGAAGACCATCACCAATGCTTTGAACCGCATCATTGCTGCCGAGCCCGAGGTCACCAAGTACGACACAATTGTCGGTGACGGCGACTGCGGCATCGGCCTGAAGAGAGGAGCTGAGGGTAAGTTCGAAAACCAGATTGAGACATCGCACAGCAAGCTAACATTCAAAACCCAGCCATTCTCAAGCACATCTCCGAAAAGCCCCTGACGGGCGACGCCGTCGTCGACCTGGCCTCCGCGGTCCCCGTTGTCGAGAACACAATGGACGGCACCTCGGGCGCCCTCTACGCCATCTTCCTCAACGCCCTCGTCGGCGCCCTCCGCAGCCTCGCCCCCGGCACCGCCGACCCCAAGGTCTGGGCCGCCGCCCTCAAGCAGAGCAGCGACGCCATGTCGCGCTACACCCCCGCGCGCGCCGGCGACCGCACGCTCGTCGACGCGCTGTACCCCTTCGTCGAGACCCTCGGCGAGACAGGCGACGTCAAGAAGGCTGCCGAGGCGGCGCGCGCCGGCGCCGAGAAGACCAAGGGCATGAAGGCCAGCCTTGGCCGGACGGTGTACATTGGTGGTTCCGGCTTCGAGCAGGTCCCCGACCCTGGTGCGTGGGGCCTGAGCTGCTTCTTCTCCGGTCTTGCTGGCGAGGAGGACGGATGGGAGAAGTTGTAAAAAGAGGGAGCTATTTTGTGATATCCTGCGTTTAGACGCATCTTGTTATAATTTTCTTGGCTGGGAGGGAAAAGCGATTCAGGGGCTGGAAGGGGCGGTTGCACATGTGTTTGGAAAGCGGCAAAATGCAGCAATGTCGGGAAATTGACGGCCATGGTAGCACAGAGGAAAAAAACACCAATGATCCTATTTGTCTCTTCAACGCCAAATTTGTCCCGTTTTTAAAGAAAGCCACTCTACCGTGGGTATTTTGACGCAATGTCTCCGCCCTCACTGACTCGCCGTCGCTCTTTTCTCACGGGGCGACTATATCTGAATTGAACAGCTCCTTTCCAGCAGCTTACATTTCCGTATCGCTTGATTTTGATGCGGGCGTAGGGCATCGTGGCCCTATCGCTCTCTTCCCGGCGACGCGTCGCGGATGATGCAGGGTTCGTGGACGGTCGTAAAAAGACTAAGATTCTGAACTCGTCCGTAGATGTACAGCTCATTCAGCTCAGGAGGACCAGGATAACACTATCACCGCGGAGGAACCTGCAACGCATGTTAGCTTGCGATGTTGTCATGTCGGAAACGGGGGCCGGCGCGTCGTGTCGCCATGAGTGTGTACTGACATTTTGCTGATGAAACGGTCCTTGTTGACGGGACGGCCCTTCTTGCCGTTGGCCAAACGCGGGGTCTCTGTCCACATTTCCTGCGATCCAAAGTCAGCGCCTGTGTTCCTTGATGCTCTTCCGTCTGATGATCCACGGTGGGTTTAGATGGTCGCACCTTCACGTTCTCGAGAACCATATTGCAGTGTCTGTCGAAAGCCTTGACGCGCGCAAGGAGCTTGCGGTTGTTTCTGATGGAGATGAGGACCTGGGTGTGGCTGCGGACGGCGGTCTGGAGGATGGAGAGAGGTCCGGCGCTGAACTCGTGCTCCTCGAGCTGGGCGATCTCGTACTCGGTGAGCTCGTTACGAGGCTTGGTGAGAAGCTCCCTGCATTGCGCATGTCAGCGTCGCGTTCTTTTCATTCAGTAGGGAAATGGAGGAACGCACTGGATCTTGGGGTCGGTCGACATGATGGGCGGTTACGGCGGGGAGATGGTCGTGGTGCGTGAAAGTGGGTAAGTAACGTCGGAATGATACTTTTGATGTAGGCCGCAGCAAGGCTGAAAGAGTTTGGCGGTGCTTGCTGCTCAGTGGTTGGTGCGCTTTGGCTGCACCTGTCCAGTGAAGTCGGCGCTGGCAAAAAAGTGCTCCCGTCCATCTACAGCGCGGGCACCTAGGCAAAGCTCAAGGTGCGCCAGCTTTAGTGGAGCAGAATGGCACCCGCACGCATGGCCAGTGCACCACCCCGGCCGCTGGAACCATCCAATTGCCTTATGATGCCCGTGGGTATCCTCGGCCTCAATTTTTGGTGGTGAGGAGCATGGAAAATCATTCCCGCGGCGTCGTCTAAATCAGTCCTCGACTCTTCGACCATCACCACCCCTCCACCCCTCCGTTCCACGAGCCCGCCAATCTCCAGTCGATGCGCCGCTTGTCCAAGACGAGCGCATAGGCAGCTGGTACACAAATAAATGTTCTCCAGGACGATTTCAGTACGAGCCGGGTCGGCAGCACTAGCTGCTCCTTGCAGGAGCTGCAGCAGAAGCTTCGGCATGCCTCTCAGAGCAAAGATTCTTGGTGCGCAAGCTTCGTCAAGCGCACAGGTCAGTCAATCTACTCAATTGAGAAACCTGCCAGAAAGTGAGGCGCTAACTGCATGCCCGCATAGATGTCTACGAAAGTCCCAGCCGAGTTCCAGGAGCGCCGCAACGACGATCCCGATGATGTCCTCTTCAACAGCCTCTACGGTCTGCGGACCATCCAGCTCAATCGCCCGAAGAAGCTCAACTCGTTGAACGCCAGCATGATCCGCAAGATTCTGCCGAGGTTGGTGGAGTGGTCGAAGTCCGACATGGCGAACGTGGTGGTTATGAAGGGAGCCGGTGAAAAGGCTTTCTGCGCCGGCGGAGATGTCGCCGAGCTGGCCAAGTACAATCTGGAAAGCAAGGACGGGTGGAAGAAGAGCTCGGACTACTTTGCGCTCGAGTACATGCTGGACCACTACATCGCCACATACAAGAAGCCATACGTCGCTTTCATGGACGGCATCACGATGGGTGGCGGCGTCGGCCTTAGCGTTCACGCTCCCTTCCGTATCGCTACCGAGCGCACCGTCTTCGCCATGCCCGAGACGACGATTGGTTTTTTCCCCGACGTCGGCGCCTCTTTCTTCCTGCCTAGACTGCAGGGCTACGTCGGCACCTACCTCGCACTCACAAGCGAGCGACTCAAGGGCGTGAATGTGTTCTACTCGGGTCTTGCTACGCATTACCTGCACTCGACTTCTCTGCCTCAGCTCGAATCCCGTCTGGCTGAAATCCACTTCGAGGACCAGGATAGCATGGACAAGCGCCTGAAGATCATTGCAGCGACGCTCGAGGAGTACGCCACCGGTCTGCCGTTCGACGAGCCCATGCTTATCGCCGGTGAGCTTCGCGAGGCTATCGACCGCTGTTTCTCAAGGAGCAGCCTTCAAGGGATCATTGAGTCGCTCAAGGCTGAGGAGGGTGAGACCAAGGAGTGGGCCGAGAAGACGTTGGATACGCTGCACAAGCGCTCGCCTACGGCCGTCAACGTCGCTTTGAAGCAAATGCGTGTTGGTCGCGAGTGGGGTATTGGGAAGACATTCCAACACGAGCACCAGATTGCGACCAAGTTCATGAAGCACCCCGACTTCTCCGAGGGCGTGACTGCGCTGTTAGTGCGCAAGGAGACCCCCAAGTGGCAACCAGCCACTTTGGACGCCGTCAAGACCCAGGATGTCGACGCGTTCTTCCAGAAGGAAGGCGACGAGCTAGAATTGCTGAACAACCGCAATTACTCTGAATACCCCTTCTACTTCGGATTGCCAACCGAGAAGGACGTCAAGGAGGTCGTCATCGAGGGCCAGTACTCGCCTAAGCAGGTGTTGAACAAGATGGTGAAGGACAGCAATGGCCGCCAGGGCGTCAAGCAGGTTGTTGAGGACATCTTGGCCAGGAGAACGTCTGTGAACGACAAAGGCCGTGCGGTTTGGGAAGAAGGGATCTGGTAGGCGTGCGGAGCGAATGAAGGTTCGCCGATGTCTCTCTGGAGCGTAGGTGTGTACAATACTGTAGATGCTTCATTATGTGTCTGAATAAACAAAAAAGAAGTCACTTTTGCGTTCAATTGCTGAAATGGACGTGCACTGATTGCCGGAATAGCTTCACCTCATTGGGGGCTTGATTTTGAGCGATAACAAGCTAATCGTAGCTGATTGGCCAACCAGGTTTTAAGATGTTTCGATAACTAAACTTCATCGTGGACGAGGTTGAGAGAAAAGTTGGGGTAAGAATGACTTCATTCTAATAGGTCCGGGTGTTGGTTGCGATAGTGTTGCCTGCGGTCGGCAGCCTCATGAGACGTCGGAGTTAACGCGCGAACCATTTGACGGTTCGGATGTCGCCATCACAGTCATCACTTAAACCTCGGAAAAGTGGCAAGATGGGTGAAGAGATTGGCGCAGGATGGCTTCACTTTCATTGGGCCGGTGACACTAGGCTGGCCAAACTCTGTTCCGGATAGCAATGGTAGGTGGAGATGAGTCATGGGTAGAACGCTAGCGACGAAAAAAAGCATTGGAACGGATGGAATGGGAGTGATGAATGATGAATAGGAAGAGAGCAAACCAACCTGCCCAGCTGGCCCGTGGGATTGTACAGACAACGCAGGCGAGAGAAGAGGGGGACCAGGAGAGACCTCAGGCTTCAGGGGGGACAAGTATAAAGAGGGACGGGGCCCCGCCGTCTTCGGTCAGGGGAAAAGAAGGAATCTCGTACAGAATTTCCCTCCTGTTTTCTTCAATCTTCAGTTGCAAGTTCGGGCGCCTGGACCTGTCTCCGGAGAAGGCCCCGGTTGCAAGCACAAAGTCCGACCAAAAGAGAGGTGAGGAATCGGCTGACCAGGGCCCCCACCCACTCCCGAGAAGCGAAAGAAGGGACCCACTTCCGGCATTCACTCAGCAACCGCCCTCCGTTCCCATCAAGGCTCCAGCAGAGAGGTCTCGATCCCAGCGTTCTTACGTAAGGTAACCCATTTCGCGCACGGGCCATTCGGAGACTTCGACGTCTCAGTCGCGGGACAAACGAGAAAGCGTGCCTGCACGTGTTTGGGCGCGTTCTGGATTCGGCTGTCCGCGCTAGGAAACTAGGCGAGAGCAGCCCCTGGTCCAACGTCACAGAGCGGACCCGCCTAACCCAGTTTGTACCGTGACTTGCGACTCGCTGTATCTCCAATACACGCGACACCACTGCAGTCTTTTCGTTGTGTTATTGCTTCCTCTGCGTACGAATACCTCTGCCTCAGCATCTGAGCCCAGTCTTTCATACTTCAACTTGGAGTTTGGTTTGCCAATTCCTCGATTTTCGTTTTCATCGTCTGTTTGAGGTCTGCAAACAGGCTGCTGCAGGTTGTCTCGGCCGAGTTTCTGTCCTAAAAGGTAGTCGCGCAGGGGGTCTAAGTGGTTGATCCACTTCTCAAAAACGCGACTTACACCAAAGCTGGACCCAGGACGCGACTACTTCACGACCACGGCCATGATACCCGCCCCGCGGTTTCTTACGTGACGCCTGCACTTTACCACTTTACCACTTTACACCACTCTACAAACACCAATTGCCAACCCACCTTCCACCCAAATCTCTCCTCCACTTTAAACTTTCCCTTTTTCCTTTTTCCACCCTTGGTCACCGCCCTTCGAGATCGTCGACCTTCCCAATTCAACCTTCCTCTCCTCTATACACGTCGACACCCATCAAACTGGACCAACACACGATCCGGCACTGAGAGCCTCGCCTACCATGGCGTCGCCAATGCCCGTAGCCCCCATGGGCAATTGGGGAGGAAACGGCCAGGCCAGACCACCACCGCCTCCAACGCAGGAGGCCGAGGAGATGGGGGTTCAGATCAAGACTATGGGCCGTAAGGACTTTCTGTCCTGGTGCTTTGGGAGTGTTACTGACGCGATTCCATAGTCAAGGTCACATACACATTCGCCGACAATGGCGAGAGTTTCCTGGCGCGGCATCCCCAGCTACTGCCTATCCAAACAGTCCCAATCGACGAGAAGCGTACTATTGGTATGGTCGACCTCAGCATATGTGCTCAGGCGGTTGCTAGGTGCAGCCCCGAGCTTCTCAGCGACAGCACCCGCGACTTTGCCGTCTACGCATACGACTACTCGGAACCGGACGAACCTCTTGTTGGCCAAGGCCTGCTTGGCTGGATCGTTAATCACGCCGACGACAAGAGAATCATTGGACGTGCCACCAGGAATCCCCTTTCAGTCTTTAGCGGAGGCGTGAAGGATATCTTGGAGATCAAGTTCAAATTGAAACCCGTGGCCGCCATGGCACGACCGCAGTACGAGCCCGAAATGAAGCCAGACTTTCGACACACCCTTCAGCGCTCCGAGAGCCACATGAGCGTCGAGATGCAGCCTGCCAGACCGGCTGAGGGCGTTGTCACGCCATCGAGCCATGCCGAGTGGAACGCATTCATGCAATCAAATCCTCAAATGGCCAACCAGCAAAACCCTGCCAGAGTTGCATCGCCTCACCAACCCCCGAACCATCATGAGTACCAGCCGCCGATGCAGCGCAACGACTCATTCAGCTACAATACGCCACCACCGCAACAACCGCCGCCACCGCAGCAACATCAGCAACAGCAGCAGCAACAGCAACAGCAACAGATGCCGCCGCAAATGCTGCCCCAACTGCCTCAGCCACCTCAACAGCAGGTCCAAAACTCTGAAGGACCCAACCGAGTTGCCCCGACGCCTGTTGACACAGCAACCGAGCCCCAGGCCAACCCACCTTCGAGACCCTCATCCAGGGCATCCAACCGATCCAGGAAGTCAAAGCCTACCGGACGCCCTCGTGGCCGACCTCGCAAGCAACCACGAGCTGAGAACCAAGGCAACACCTCCGGATACGAAGATGGAACCGAT